AGGCATAGAATGTTTTCTAACAGAAAAACGTCGGCCATAATGTCCCTGTACCCGCACCGCACTATAACAGTGCTGCCTGCGGTTTATCACTCTCATCTGCGCACTCCCACTAGCCTCCTCCCTAACGGGAGCTATAGCTGGGGCGGCGAGTGGGGAATTTGTACAGTCATCAACATGTGCAAGTGTATTGTGGAAACAAAGGACACTCAGACTTGGATACAGATCAACACCATCTTTATTTTAAAAGTTTTGACTGGGATCTGGGCATTAAATAGGCAGTTAAGTCCGCGAAGATGGAGCTCCCCACCCGGGTGCTCTGCTGTTGCGGAGCCTGCCTCGGTCGGGCAGCCCTTCCCCGTGATAGCCGGTATGCCGGTGCCACGGGGTGGGCCGTAGAGGTTGAGGGTGCCGCAGCTACGGGACCCCCGTGCCGGCGCCTCTCCCTCCGCTTCACTGTCGCACTACGCTCCCTCCCCTGCATGCGCGAGGGAGGCACGTAGCGGGGCCTGAGGAGGAGCCAGCGATAGCGAAAGCTGGACAAGCGCTGGGTGACCGAGGAGACCGACCCAAAGAGCCCCTCCGTGGACACGGGGACTCCGAGGAGATCTTCTCGGTCCTTCTTAGATAGGGCCGTGAGCCCTGGCCACACGTGACGAGACGCCACTGTGGCCAGGGAAATCATCCGCCCTGCTGCGGTGGCCACGCCATAAATCAGATTACTCATCTGACTAACAGCGTGGTCCGAATAATCGCTCTCGTCCTGAGACGGGAGGGCGGGGGCGTCTGCCTGAGGGGTGATCAGGAAGACGCCAACACGGCAAGATTATCGGCCGCAGCCGCCATCTGCGTACCGAGTTTGAACAATTTATCCAGATATTCCAGGTGTCTCGGTCCCGGGGCAGCGGGGGCAGAGGACGTTTACCCTCCGCCCAACCAGCCGTGGAAGCAGATGGGGGCTATCGGGGCCTTCGTTTTAAATGGCTGCTGCCATGTCGCCTCCACACACCGCCATACCTCTGGCAGCTGGGGCGAAACGAAGGTCGGCTGCGCCGGACGCACCGGGCCATAAATCTCAGGAGGTTTACAGGCCTCGGTGGCAGCGGTGGGGGGAGCGGTAAGCCTACACGCTCCGCCGCCAGAGTCATCACCGCCGGGAAATCGATCCGCGCAGACCTGAGAGTTGGACCTCCGGTCAGCGAGGTGTCCTCCTCGTACCCCATCGGAGAACCGGGAGACGTCACCTCGCTCCCCGAATCGCCTACGTCCACGACGTCGAGCTCCAGATCCACCGACTCCTCCTGCGGGGTAGCCCTCGCCAGGAAGTGCTGCCCACGATGCTCTCGTGTGAACCGCGGGATCATCTGGCAGTCTGGGCATGTCAGCGTCAGGCCCATATTACCCACCGCGTGGTCAGGCCCCAAGGACGTGAAGCAGAAGGGTAATTAGATTCGGGCATTTCGGGTAGGTTCTACACTTTACTCTCTTTTTCTCAATCGTCTCGAAGCTCGTGGAATCACTTCCGCTGCTGAAGAGAAAAAGGATGATAGTCAGGAGGCGAGGCCTCCTTTTATACGGTGTGATGCGCGCGCATTCAGGTAGGCCCCCCCTGGGCCGGCTACGTCTATAGAAGTCTCAGTGGGAGAATGCACGCGGGATAAGGTAGTACCCATAGAGTCCAGTAGAGGGCGGAGCCTGTGAGAGATATAACTATAGTAACTTATTGAGAGAACATGAACATAGTTTGCTTATACTGTTGTCATTACATTTCCTTTGTTTTGTTCAGTGTTTTCATAGTCATAGCCTATTGAAACAGTTTCCTCTGTACCTGCCAGTTCTGTCCACTGAGCTCTGCCTGCATCTCTCCCTCAGGGTCATCACCATCAGCATCATCTGATAGTGGAACTGAATAAGGAGAACATGTAATCATTACATTAACAACTATTTATGAAATAACATTATTCAAGAACATATATTATGCAACACTTATTTTATCACTTAGTTGACCCTGTATTTGCATGCCCTAATACCATAATGATTGTCTCCCCAACATAACCATCTCAAGTTATTCACTCACAGTATGAGGGGTTTGTAGCCCCACAGTTAGCTGCAGTCTAACGGTTATATTACATATATTTGCCTTGAGTAACATTAAGGACATGTTTGGGTTTTGTGTAGCCTTATAGTCTCCAGCCACACAGGGCCTGCCACTAACTTAGCATTGGACTGAGAAACTGTTTTGTTGACATTTCGCTGCCTTTTTTTGCAGGATGGGGGTCCATCCTTCCACAATAATTAATCTTGCCGTCAGTTTCAGTCGGTCCAGTCCACACTAATGTAAACAGCAGCGCGCTGGTCTCGTGAGAAACGGAGAGTGTGTGTTTATTAGACGCCATGTCAGCAGGCCACATCATGCCAGCGTTGCGTTCACAAGACATACAAGCCACAAACTGGCAATCGAAACATGCTACAACCTGAGGGACAGTGAATGAGACACACAGACACACCTACACACACCTTGAGGGAGGGAGGGACAGCTGATCGCCGTGCAGCAATCAGCTGTTCCCGAGCAGAGAGAGAGAGAGAGAGAGAGAGAGAGAGAGAGAGCTGCTAAACACAACTCTTATTAATCTCCATACCGGACAATTGTTATTTGTTCCAAATCGGAACCGGATTTCGGTTCCCGACCCTCATCACATCCCCAGCCACAGCCGTGGTCTTAACCGGTCTTGACATAACATCTCGAGTCCTATAGGTCTGATACAGAGACAATACGAAACCAAATGCAGTCGATTCCGAGACCAATACCGTTAAAAAGTGGTTTGGAGACCGGTCTCGAGTACAACACCAGCAAATATTCTCATCCTAATGATTATTAATTATGATTCCCCTCTCTTCTGATACCAATACTGTGCCGATGAGAAAGTGTAGGCTACCTGTAACACTCTCCAAACTAGGAGCGGAATCATTCGAAAGATATAATATAGGATAATGCTATACAATGCTAACGGAGGCGACACATACGTTATTCACACGCTTATCCACACGTACGTTATCAACACGCATATCTAAGATAGTGCTTTCTAAGCTACGCCGCCGCTACGTGAGCGCGTACTTTGAGCGCGTACTTTGAGCGCACCTATGGTACGTCGCCGTGACGTCTGACGTCTGACATCATCATGACGTCGCCTGTATTCTACGTCAACCCATTCACAATTGATGGAGGCGTTGGCGCACGTTGACACGTCAGTTCTCCGCTCAGTTAGCTTAGTTATCTGTTCTTTGGCACAAATCACACCTCATACAAATCACACCTCATACACAGACACCATAGCCTGCATGGCAGGGGCCATCGCCGGGGCCCACTACGGCATCGAGGCTATCCCTCAGTCGTGGATAAAGTGCTGCGAGGGGGCGGAGGATGCAGACATGAATGCAGAGCGGCTTCACATGCTGTACCAGCAAACATCACAGGGGGGCGGGACAGGGGAGCCGAGCTGTGGAGCTGAAAGCCAATCAAAAGCTTCTAACGGCACAGAGAAGAAAGCCAGAGCGGAGTGATTCTTACTGAGTGACACACACACACACACACACGCACGCACGCACGCACACACACACACACACACACACACACACACACACACACACACACACACACACACACACACACACACACACACACACACACACGTGATGATTTCAAAACTATGACAAAATATGTTTTTTTTCCATGACTGAAGGGAGACAATGATGAGGCGGCATTGATGCCATTGAAGACCAACTGTGACATCAACATCAACATGCAATATTCATGAAAACAAAAATGTAGTTAAAAAATATAAACTTCACTAAAATCATTTTATTATAACTTCTACTTCTGTTCCCATCTCTGTCTCTCTGAAAAACACACATACCACATGCCCTACCGCTCAATTATTCTCCGTCAGACAGTTGTCAGTGCTACTAAGGCATAAAGTCAATGTACAAGTTGAATTGGGTTCGGGTTATTATTTTATATTATGATTTTTTTTTTTTCCATGTCAGGCGTAGCAGATTGGCTCTCATTACGGGCTGGGTGGGTGCGCATCACCAATAAACACAGTCAGTATGAATGGGGGTCGAGCTGCGTTTTTATTATCAAATAATTATAAGATGCTATCTTCTGTGAACAAAGTTTGTCACAAATGACAGAATTATTGGTTTCGGCTGGCCTAGATTTGATGGAAATAGAATAAAAGTTGACTAAATGTTATAACTTCATATCGACTAAAACTATGAAGGCTAACTACGATGACTTAAATTCTAAACTAAAAAGCGCTTTTATAATTGATGAGCTCAAATATTCCTTCAATTTTAAACTCAATCTCAAACAGCTGCCAAGCTTAACACTTACACATAAAGAAACATCTTGACTCGTAGGCTTCAGTAGTGGGGGATCGACCCCCCTACGCCATGAGCCACAGCCACTACAGAATGTTAAAGTAAAACAAACAAGATACGTAACCAGACAGACTAGATTCACTTTATATGATATGTGTTGTCATAGATACATTTGGTGTGTGTATGCATGCCCGTATACACACACACACTCTGCTCTTTCCTGTTTTGTGTTAAACAATCTTCTGTCTTGTGAAAGTTGCACTATTGATTGGCCATGTCTTGTTTTTATCCGTTTGATGGATAACAATTATTTAATAAACATTTTTTTGTAAATTCACATCTGTATCAGTGCTCATTTTGTATTTAAGATTCAAAACATCAAATTAGATTAAGGAAGGTCAGCTCAATGGAGATGGAGACTCTTAGTAAGCTAAATGTTCAGCAGGTTAATATATAGCTTATTCTTTGGTTTGTGCTAACATAATTACAGTGGTGGAAAGTCACTCGGGACAGTCAAGTACTACTTAAGTACACATTTCAGGTACTTAAACTTGAGTATTTTCTTTCTATGCTTCTTTATACTTCTACTCCGTTACAATTCAAAGGGAAATATTGCACTTTTACTAAGAAGCTTTATTTGACAGACACTTTATAGATTCAGATTTTCATATACACAACACATAACCACATTAAAAAACTTAAAAAAATGATGTGTTGATGTGGATTAACCTACACTTAACTAAAACAATGAGTGAAAACAAAACTTTATTTGCTAATTTTCACAGTTTCAGCTTCTTAAGTGTAGATTTGCTGCGTTTTCTTCTAAATATATATATATATGGCCTATATATAACCTGGGAATTCCTGTGTTTATTTTCATTTGAGCTTGTTATAAATGTTAATTTGCAAAAGTTTCCAGATCAAAATGTTTTTAAAGAAATCTTGCAACAAAAAGCACAGGAATTCTCAGGTGTTTAGGTACACAGGCTGTCCAGCAACATGTCATATTTTACCCTTCTTCTAATAGATTGACATTTTGAATACAGATGTACTAGTTTTTCTTTGTGCTCGCATCAGCTAAATGCACCTGTGCAAAAAGACAACACATATCAGAGTGTTAAAAGTCAAAGACAAACAACTCATCAATGACAAACAAGAGGTAATAGTAAGTTGCTACCAAATGTAAACCGCAACATCTCATGAGTGTCATTGCAAAAAACAGGTGTAGTTGAAAAGCACAAGCAACAAAACTGGAACAACAGCCTTTTCTTCTGGATTCTTCCACCAATATCACAGGTTTTTCTCTGTCGGGGCCACCTCTAAGAAGAGCTGCAGGAACACTGTTAGCTTGGTCAGCAACCCTGGGCAGAGCTTGAAATGGATGAAGGGAACGTACACTATAGCTCCACTGAGGATAAATAAAGACACATAGAGGTATTCTATCTGAGGGTTGTCTAGGATGGGTGCAAGAACAAGGAATATTGCCACAATGATGACCAGGACTGGGAGTATAATGGGAACCTGTGGAAAAAGAGAGACAGATTCTCATACGTGTTAAGACAAATGTTAATGTTGATGGTGTTTAAAGGGGCCCTATTATGCAAATGTTCAGGTTCATATATTTGTATTTTGTGTCTCTACTCTGACATGTTGACAGCTCTTTATTTTTATGATACTGCCTGTGCTGCAGCACCTCTTTTAACCCTCTGTCTGAAACCAGAGCCCAGTCTGCTCTGATTGGTTAGCTGGCCAGCTCTGTTGTTATTGGTCAACCGCTTAGAGATGTGTCGGAAACGTCCCACCCCTTACACTTATCATGTACAATGTGTTACAAGTGGGGCAAGCACCTTAAATAGTGATGTCACTATGGGGGGGTGGGGGGGGGGGAGAATTCCCTCTGGAGGGATCTTTGGGATTAAGGCCCCGCTCACACGGGACCGTTTGCGTTTATGCACAGTATGCGTATTCAAAAAAGTGTTCCGTTCACATGCATTTGTTTCATTTAACGTGTCTGTTCAAACGAGACCGCTGGAAACGCTGTAGTACATATGCCGGGACTGTAAGTGGCGCTGTAACTTCCGCCACAAAATACACCAAAAGCAGTGAAGAAGACTCCGCAGCAGCCCCGCAGCAATGTTGCCATGGCTACCCTTCTGTTTACGCCCCGCCGTGGATTTAGCAACATGTAGTTCATGTAATTCTCCATGTCCACTTGTTGCTGATGGTTGTGGTAGAGGAGCTGTATATTTTTGCACTAATATCTGTAGCATGGTCAGTAGCAGTAGCACTAGCAGTAGCTACTGACAGGAGGAGGAGCATGTCTCCGTGGAGAGGACTCGCTCAGAGAGATATTCTCTACAAACACCGGGTGAGATCCTCCTTTGTCAATATAATGGATCAATGCATGAAATCTGACTCTGTTTATTTTGTTTAAGGAGTATATTGGGCGTTAACAATTCTGGTTTGCCTTTTATAATATTATTTCATTCAAGAACCCCTTGTGCGTTTAATTAACACAGCCATGCTACAGCAGTGAGCAGGAGAGGTGGGGAAAGGCGGGGCTATCGTTATTTTTTCAGGAAATATTCGTATAGAGGTGATTACACGGACTCGGTTGACCCCCCAGAGCGTTTCGTTTGCAAATCTATCCACCTTGGGACCCGTTATCGTTTGTGGGGTCAGTTTCTATCGGCCTCGTGTAAATAATAGGGCTATACGCACGCGAAACTATGCAGATACAAGCAGTTTTCTCCTCGTGTAAACGGCGCCTAAGCCTTTGCAGACCATTTACATGAACTAAAACCTATACTGGCAAACCCCCAAAAGCATAATAGGGCCTCTTTAAGATTGAATGTGTGTGATACAGACCTTGTATGGCCTGGGGAGCTCCGGCTTCTTAATCTTGAGATAGACAAGTCCAGAGAGGGTGATGCCATAGAAAAACCAGGCAGTGAAACTAACATGTAATAAGGAAGAAATGTCAACATTAAATACATGCAAAGGCAGAAAATGATAAAATACCAGACATCTATTTTCTATAACTCTATGTCATGTTTTTGGGCCTTTTGGGGCTTTTGTCAGGATAGGGGAATCCTTCACACAGCCTTTATACTGTCATTATCATGCAGGCTAGTTATCCATAACTGGCAATACCCACAACCTCCAAAATGTATTTGATGGTTAAGAGATCATTCATGAATGAAACTAGAAAAAACGAAGCGTCCATTCCTGGACTATGGGAATCTAATCTTTAAACGTCCTCGTATGTCATGTGCTGACCATACAGTCATGGTTTTTATTTTTAGGATACACTGGATACATCTATTAATTATTTCATATTGAATACTTAAGATACTTGAAACCCTCTTTAGTTTTTGTTTTTTTTGTGAGGATTAGGGTTTTTAATCTACTATTAAATATGTATTTGTTAAACTGAAATCCAATCAACTCAAAACAAACCTAAAACACATGCAAATCAGACCCAGCTTTCACCTGAAGAAGTTGACAATGCTCTGGAAGTCTCCGGGGATCAGCACCAGAAGAGAGACCACAGTGGTAAAGATCAGCGCTGGAGATGGAGTCAGTCTGCGGACATGAGCCATGGCTAGGATATCTGGCTAGAGAGTAAACACAAGTCAGTGCATGAAGATCGTCACGCTTATGCTCCTGAACAATCTAACTATTATTTTAATCATAAAGTGGAGATGCTAACCAGGTGACCTTCCCTGGCAGCAACAAAGCACACACGGCCCCCACTGAAGAACGTTCCGTTCAGTGAGCCGAAAGCAGACAACGCTGCGGCCACAGACATGGTCCAGCCCCAGCTTCCTAACACTTTGTTCCTGTGGAAAAAGTCACAAGTTCTCACAAAAGTTGCAACAGGAACCTTTCCAATGTTCTAAAGCCACATGCTGCAGTACATAGAAAGTGTAAACATGGGAATTTTATTCAGACTTGTCCTGAAAATGTTTGGATTGAAGATTAACTGAAAACGTTTTGTTTGGCAAGGTAATCTCTACGACGTATTTTATGTTTTAGAACAAAACTTGTGTTAAACACAGACCTTATTTTTAGCTTTAGCCACAAACACGTACAAAAATAAAAACCGTCGACTTTGAGACAAGGAAATCGGACGTGGTAAAATGCTAACTGAAATCCGGGTTTTAGGACTCACTTCTGCACCACACCATCAGAACCAACTTTTTGTGCTCATATTGCATTTTGGGTAATGTATGCGCAACGTTGAAATGCTATATAAATACTCTAAAGTTTCAGACATAGGGTACATAGATGTATTCAGACAGACACTATGACAAAAAGTATGTGTTTTTTGAACATTAAACATGTACCCAAGTTATAGAAGAAACCAAATATACAAATATGAAACTCCGAATTAGCATCATATGTATTCTTTGAAAAATCACTGTGTGATGTCACAGGAGTGCACTCTTTCCATGCTCCTTTGAAATGAGCAATTTTAACAGTCAAAATAGCATGTCAAGTTAACAGGCTGGATCTGTCTACCTGAATCTATTAAAACAATATCAGATGCTGTCTTACCCCCAGGTTACTGCTACAGCGCTTGAGGACATGAGCTCTTTTGGAGTCATAACCGTCAGGTAGCTCACATTCACCAGCAGGTATAAGCCAGTCACCAGAGAAATGGCTATCACAACCGCCCTGGGGAGATTCACCTGGAAGAAAAAAGGCAACATCATTTTTATGTTTAAGATAGCATGATGTTTAGTTGTAATTTTGACACTTGAATAATCGATTGACCTAAAATCCTTAACTGAAGTATTTTTCTGCTTTGACAAAGCACGTTTAAAAATGTTGGCACCAATCCTGTCCCATTAACAAAGTGATAAGGTTATGAAGTTTTTCAGTAAAACTATGACAGTCATCAAATGTTAGGTTTCCTCCCGATTACAATTGTCAATAAAAGGAAAATGATAGGATTCGATCATCCAATGACACGTCTTTTTTAATGCCCAAATTCCAACAAGGTTCACTGTAAGCTGAAGCTTTTTCTTTTAGGCAAGATGTTAATAATTGAATCTCTTCTAAGAAATGATTGCTTCAACTTTTGTCAAGCATTATAATATTCTACAATCATTGTTTTGATATAAAAATTACCAAATTCAATCTTAAAAAAAACCTAGATAATCTATTTTCACATTTTACAATCACTGCACACACTCACATGATAATAACACTAACAGACACACACCTTTGTCACAGTTAGATAAGACTAAAATTGCAGCAAACAAACACATGTCCTGACAGTGTCTTTATGCAACAATCCAATTCTTTACAGTCTCACCTCAGGTCTTTTTAGCTCCTCAGTGACATAGTTCAAGTTGTACCACCCAGCGTAAGACCAGAGTCCTTGATAAACACCCATTCCCAGAGTGCTCAAAGAGTACTGAGTGCCTTTAAATGCATTCTCAACTTTCAAATTTTCCACAATGACACTGCTGCTCTGTATGAGCTTCACTATTCCTCCGATAACAATAAATGTCAACACCAGCACTTTGGCCACCAAGAACACCACTTGGATTCTGACGGCAATCCGGGAATTCAAGATGTTTACTATGGCAACGACCAGTATAGCCACAGCTGCAACACACTTCACTACCAGATCAGGAGGTTGGCAGCTGTTGTAAAAGGGTGCTAGAGCATATTCTGCAATGCTAATCGCCATTGCTGCAATGCCAAACGGCTTCACAACCACAACAAAAGTGATTGCTGCAAAAAAAGCAGGGCATGAACCATAGATCCTCAGTATGTAGATGAATTCTCCACCAGATTCCTGGATGATTGTCCCAAGCTCTGCATAGGACAGTGCTGCAAACATAGCTACAACTCCAGAGAGAGCCCAGATCACCAGACTTGCTCCAGGGCTTCCAACGTAGCCCATTATAAACTGAGGGGACATGAATATCCCGGATCCGATCATGGTTCCTGATACTAGTGCTACACCACCAATCAGCCCAATTTCCCGCCTCATTTTCAGGGCTTTAGGTTCTTTGTCCGTCATGGTCATATCGGAGCGATGATTGGGAAAACAGTGCAGATGTAACAGAGACACCTGAAGAATGTAATCCAAAGATAATAAAAAGGGCTCAAAGTATTCCTTCGATTTTATATTAACTCGACTGAAGTTGTAAAACTTTTACTTTTACCACCACTATTGGAGGGGGTGTAGCCGCTGTAGAAGGGGGCAACAGCATAGTCAGCAAAACTCAGAGCAATTTATGTTGCAATGGTAGGTCTCATGGCCACGATGAAGCTGAAATAAAACATAAAGGCCACCATTTTCACTGTCGTCCGCAGCATGTAGATAAACTGTCCTCCAGACTCTGGTATGACTGTTCCCAGTTCAGCGTAGCAGAGCCCTCCCAACATGGATATCAACCCACAGCAAATCCAGATTACAAAGCTTGCCCCAGGGCTGCCGATAGCAGCCAGCACGTACTGGGGGAGATGAAAATCCCAGAACCTATCATGGTTCCAGCAATAAATGATACACCTGCTATGAGCCCCACTTCCCTCTTCAGATTGAGCTTCTGTGTGTTACCCTCCATCATTAGAGAGCTGCTGTCTTCTCAAACGCATTCGCAGTGGACACTGGACATGCACTAAACTGGCTGTAGATGAACTGCGAAATGTTGGGCAATTATGGAGCCGTGTCCTAAGAGGCAGACCCTAAACGGAGGCATGTTCCTCTTTGACTTTGGTCATTTCATCAAGTTATTTCCATTAGCAGACAATCATGTGTTCACTTTTTACTGCAAAGAATGTTAAATAATTATGGGTTTAGATGTCAGTGTAAATAAGTAGTCTGAGATTGTCTGCAAAATTGAGGCACAATATCTCTAAAATAAATGCTTGTTCCAAGGTTATTTCTCTGACTGACAGTAAAAAGTAATAAGAGAAACTTTGAGATTTGTTAACTGCAAACTCACAAGATGTGGAAAAGGTGAAATGTTTGTAAACCAAAACCCCTGAAGGGGGGCATCCTCCCCCAGAAGATTTATTTTAACATGTAAATGAAGTATTCTGGTAAACTCTGCGAAGAAAATAAAGAAAAAAGACAACATTTTCTTCCGGCTATCAACAGATTTCCATTATTACCAAGTTTGGAAAGATACAACAGGGTAACGTCAGTAAAAGATTATTACGACACACAAACACACGTTTATTGGCAAATAATCATCTAATGTTAAGTTAGCAACAAAAGAGACATACTTCAAACTCATGTCCAATCAAGTTGTATCCATGGATGTATAAAGTAATAGTTTTACCACAAAAAGTTCTTCCATGGAAGAGAAGACGATGCAATTACCTTGATTCCTATTGGCCAAAAAACTCCAGAAGCATCATCATCAAAGAGGTTTTATTGAGAACATTGTGAAGTGACAACACTTTTCAGAACGGTGTCTGGTCTCCAGTCTTCAAGACTATGGGAAATTGTTCTGGACACTTGCAACACCTCCCCCCCCCCTTGGTCATAATGTCGCTAACCCTAACACTTCTCTTTCCAGCAACTTTACACTGCCTGCAATCTAGTGTGCACTGAAATGTATTGCTTAATGAAGCCATGAAAACCACATAATCTGCAATAAAAAGAGACACCTGAGTTCACATGACCCTCGGATGTACTAAAAATATTCTGTCCACGTAGAAAAACACAGTCAGAACCAGTAATAGTTCTCTAGCATATCTTAGTTTAGCTTCCACAGGGAATTCTAAGAATGGCACAATACTGGAAATGTAGTTGTCCCAAACAATACCAATGAAATTCCAGAACATATCAATAGTGAGTTTACTGTGCCCAAACCACATTTTCTATTGTCCACTTGACCCCTGGATGTCGTTAGGCTGCCTTCGAATATTAAGAGTTTTGATCTTTGCTCACTCCAGGGGAGGGTGCAAACCTTGCCCAGCTGTGCCACTTTATACAGCTAAACTATCTCATTAACATGGACTTGTTATTATTATTGTGACGTCCAAAAAAATGCAATTACTTTTTGTCAGTAGTATGTACAGAAACAGCTCTCACTCCAAAGATCCTCTGAAGGTCATAGATGTAAGCTAAATCTAAGTGTACAGCGCACATTTTGAGTGGATGCGTAAACTCCCAAGACCTCTCCGGTATACTTGCAAGAACAAAGAGCTGTTCCACTGGTGACCAAGACAGAACCATACTGGTTCCCAGGGAATTTGTTTAAAGTTATTGAAGGGTCTTTCAAGGCAGTCCTACAACATTCAAAGCTTTCAGTCATCCACCCCTGGTGTCATGTCCCTGCAAGTGAGATCCCAAGAGCCTTTTGATTAGAAGAGGGACCACCACCAGGGAAATGGGCATGGCTTACTTAAAGGGGACCTATCATGCAAAATGCACTTTTGTACGTCTTTTATACATGAATATGTGTCCCCGGTGTGTCAGGGAACTCACCAAGTGTCAGAAAACACAACCCTCTCTCTTTTTCTCCATACCCAAATCTCTAAAAACGGGGCTGCAACGGAGCTGATACAGATTTGAAATTGTTCTGACGTCAGAAACAGGGAGCTCCGCCTATATGGGCAACTCTCCACCTATCAGGGGAATGGGGGGTTGGGCCACGGCCACGGCCATTGCCGCTCGAAAGCGCTGGAGACATTGTAGTACATATGCCAGGCCTGTAAGTGGCGCTGTAGTCTGCCACAAAAGCAGCGAAGAAGACTTCTCACAGAATCAGCCCTTGCAAAAACAGGGCTGGAAAAGAGCAAATAGAGCGAAATGAGGCATGGCTAAAATGCATGATCTGTTTGGTATTTTGAAAAAAAAACTTCACAGACATGTTTTATATAGGTATGGCCCTACAATATATTATTCAAATATAGCATGATAGGTCCACTTTAAACTATGCCCCCTCCACAAAGGATGGGATAAAACTCTTATACAGTGATACTCAGCAAAGAGTATCTCCAGGACTCCACAACATAATATTGAGCATGAAAGTTAATTTTGCCAAAAGTAAACTCTTACTTCTGGATGTTTTAGCTCCTCACTAAGATAATTCTAAGTTTTCCATCCACCAAATAACCACAAGCCCTGATAGAATTTGTTTCAACCTTTGTCAAGCATCATACAATTCTACAAACATTTTTTAATATGAAATGATCCATTTCGAATTTCAATCTTAAAAAAACAGCCCAGATAACACATTGAAGGTGTGGTAGGTAATTCACTTCAGAAACACTTTTTGTTATATTCCATGGAATGCTCTTAACATCCCGATAGCAATGAATATATTAAATGCTTTGACAATAAATACATACAAAAATGTCATCTGTGGAAGTCGTGGCGCTGTAAAAAGCACGACCAATTATTTGAGCCGGCCCGGCTAAAATAACTGGATGGCCTACCTGCCTGTCAGCCTTCCATCTCGTGCACAAACTTATCTCGTGCCCTCATTGGTCATGTGCGCGTTCGTGTGTGTTGGAGGAGGGGCTCTGTAAGGAAGTCTGAAGGAAGGGGCAGATTTTTTTCGGCTGCGTACTTTCAAATTCTAGCGCACTCGAGCTGGTTTCTCCATTCTTACCTACCCTACCTTTAAGTGAAGAAAATAATCATTACCTACCTAAAACCATCTGCGTGGCCTGCTTTTTATACCTAAAACTATTCTGTAATATTCCAACTTGATGGTTTAAGAAAAAATAATTCATCACTTAAACTAGAAAAATGTATTTGAATAATTGTTCGGATTTATTTGGGGGGGAAATGTGGCGTCCCTTCCAGGAATTAGGGTTTATAAGCTTTAGATGTTCTCATATGTCAAGTGCAGACTCTGCAGTTATTGTCATTATTTAAGGGCATTTATTAATTTATTATTAGGGCCTGAGCACGAAGTGTGCGAAGACCTATTGAAATCGGTCGTGTTCTTATTCTTATTTTACCGGGTCTGCGCTTTGGACCTGTTTTTGAGGGGGTTCCCACACTATTCACGTAGCGACATTTGGCAACGCCGCCAGGACGGGTGAACCATTTTACATTCTGGATTCGATGGTTGCAACATTTCCGACATGCTCACTAGCGCCACCTGTCAAAATTCAGTTTTCGAAAAATGTACATAGTCGCAGCGTAAATCGGATGGACCTGAAATTTTGCACACTTATCCGGGTGGAGCAGCCCTACATATTATCCTCTCATATCCCTAAGCTCCGCCTACTTTAATTTTTTTTTAATTAGCATAATGTGAAAAACAGTGAAATATGAACTATAATTTCAATTTTTGGCTTTTCAACACCAAACTTAGTGTACAGCATCAGTGGAGGGTCAGACACACTACCGTAGAACATGAGCACGACGTGTGGAAAAATGTGCCCGACATCAATCGCAACGTATTAGCAAAAAGGTGTGGCTTAGACATAAATGCTCCTAATTCATCCGCAATGTATCCAAATATCACAGATTTCGGTGGATAGGTTCAGTCTGTCTTGGGGAATAGGCACAAAAAAGCATGTTCATTTTGGACAATAGGGGGCGCCAAAAGCACAACAAATGTATACCTCAAGATCCGATGGACGAAATAAATATATTTTGTCATACACATACTGGCAGGATGAGTATGAACTGAGATTTAAAGGGGCGCAACCAATGACGGAAGTGGGCGTGACCTATTCAGTTTTTTTTCAAAATCGAAGGGTTAAAAAACGTACCGAGCCATAAGTAGCGGGAAAATACAGTTACGGCCTTTAAACTTGGAACACACGTCACAGACCACGGCCTCCTCCAGACTGTACAAAAACATTGTGCCTTTTTGCAAATACGGCTCAGTAGCGCCCCCTATTGTGCGGTAGTCACATATAGTTTCTCTGAGCGACCCGAGTCTTGGCACAGACATGCCTCATGGAATTGCCGACATATTTCAAAATGGCTTCTATTAGCCCCTCCCCCCATAAAGTCGGCCATTTTGGAAAATGTGCGTTTTAGGCGCGTTTTTGCAAACTAGTCCTAGGGAAATTATTGGAAAAATTCCAATCCAGCACAAGTTCAGCCCATATCCAATGTGATGCTAAATTGCGAAAC